CGTCAAAGTGGGTAAACGAGATAGATCCCATCTGGAAGGGGAAATGGATGGCAAATGGTATTTATGAGCTAATCATGATGCCCAAGATCACCATCCCCATCAAGCATGAGTTTCTATCAACTGCTCTTATTTTCTTTAACAATGAGACCAACATTTTTTACTTCAGAACGGGCCCAAAGACCCCAACTGTTCTTGACATGGCTCAGGTATTCAGGCTTAAGCTGTCAAGAAAATGCGTGGACATTACTCATGACTGGTCATCCCCTTCTCAACAGCTGCTGGAAGTTCTGAAGCCTCCTAAGACATTGTGAGCTTGAAGTATGATTCCACAAACTTCAAAAGTTATGGGACTTCCTTTGCAGGTTTTATCCGTTTTGCCAAGAAAAATTTTTACCCGCCATCCTCTTCTGCTGACAACGCCCAAGAACACATGTATTTCCTCATCTATTGGTTGAACAAACATGTGTTCCGCAACAAGTCCAATAGAGTAAAGCTAAAGATGTGGCCATATAGCCCTTTATCCTTGCCCTCCTCTATCATCTGCTCTATGAGATAACCAAGGGATATCCCTTCGAGACTAATCTCAACGGAGCAACCTGGATAGTCCAGAATTCGCTCCAGTGGTACTTCCCTAAATTTCGGGCTCTAAACCTGAAATTGCCTGAGGGGGTAGCTTATGCATGAATTCTAGTAGAGGCTCCAACTAAGGGTAGGTTCGGTTCCGTTCGGTTCGATTTTTCTTCAGTTTTTATCGCTTCGATTTTTTTCGATTTTGATTTTTTTCTGTTCGGTTTCGGCCCGATTCGATTTTTTTCATGAGTTTTTTTTTCTTTTAAATCTGGAGCTTGAAGCCTTGAGCATCCTTGGTGAGAAATCAACCTGCAAGTTGAACAACAGATAAATCCACATTTTAAAAGAGCAAATATATACATTTCGTAGTAGGATGCTAGATAGGAGAATCATTGGTCCCATTGCAACAAGCTTGTCAAAAATGTAAAAACTAACTAACTAACAACAAAAATAATGTAAATACCTACTTGAATCTTTGATAAACAAAACAGCATGCCCATTAACCAATTGGGTTGGAAAGCATAAAGATGGATTTGATGCCTTGGGATATGAAATCAAAGTTGGAGTCGATCCAGGCTTCGACCTCGTTCATGGAGACAACTTTGACATCAGGAAATGAGCAAAGCCCAACCAAGCTCGGGCCATGGTCTTCCATTCTTGGGATGACTGCTCACTCAGAATCTTACAAGCTGCCGCAGGTTTCTAAGGTGGGATTTCTGGGTTTTGGTTGTGTTTTTGGTTGGAGGGAGGTAGAGAGAGAGAGAGAGAGAGGGAAAGAGAGAAGAGGATGATGAAAGATGGGAATTGGGTACGAAGCAGCTAGGGTCCTGTGGATGGCTGCGGCATGGAACGAGAGATAGAAGAGGGGAATGAAAAATAGAAAAGATGTGGCTGCCTAGGGTTTTGTCAATCACTAATAGCACAAAAGACTATAGATTTCAATTTTATAAATAACTTAGTCATACATCCATAGCAAAACAAAACCCGCTGCCAACTTGGTTTCAGTGAAACTTTCTCAAGTTGAAGTGCATGGGTTTGAACCCTCATGGCTCTAGAATTTCGAAGTTTTTTTAATGATTTTTATAATTAAAATATTATAAAAATATAATTAAATATATATTTTGGTTCGGTTTGGTTCGGTTCGGTTTTTGAACCTCAAAAATCGAAACCGAACCAGCCATATTCGGTTCGGTTCGATTTTGACAGTTTCGGTTCGATTTTTTTTCGGTTCGATTTTTTTCGGCCCCGGCCCAAGTTTTGGTCCAGTTTTTTTTGGTTTTTGGTTTTTTGAACCCACCCCTAGCTCCAGCTACCAACCACTTAGCTTTCTCTTGCCTCTACTTTTTCAAAATTTGCAAAACTAGAATCGACTTGGAGTAGGGTGCCTCTGTGCTTAGGAGGTATCTTTAGTTCTCAAACAATCTTTTCCAAGACTCATTCGGGGCAGATGCTAGCTGATTCTGTAAGAAAAAGTTCATGAGCTGCATCCAACAAAGAGATTTAGCTTGGGGAGTAATGAATGACCGAGCAGGCTATGAACGCAGGTTAGAGGTCTACCATCCAAACTTGTGTGGTAGACAAATGGGATTCAAGCAGGCTATCCCAGTTTCTTTCTTTGATTCGCTTCAGTGTCGAACTTCTTATCCTCCTCAATCCCTTTCTAAGGCCACATTTCGGGCAAGCATGTGCAGCCTAGAAGTGATGAACCACCCTTAACTTTGAATGTACTGCTCTATTTACAACTTGGTGGGAAGCCAAATAGTCTAACAAATCTAGCGATGACATTATAAAATCTCATGACAGGCTATTTGGGCAAGTTTCAAGTTTGTCGTTAAAAATGAAGAATTTGAAAGTTGGAAGGAGGCTATCAACGAGAAAAACCAACTTATGTTAATAAGTAACTCATCTTTCTACTCCATTCCTTTGATTATATGATCTTTATCAATGCTAATCTTATTTTCTTCATTTTACAACTCAAAGCAACCCTAACGAAACAGTCATCGGGCAAGAAGAAGAAAAGGCTGATGATGCCCTGATTTTACAAGAAGCCACCATTGAAGCTACTAGACAAGGGGCAGGGCCGAGCCAAACTCTTGGAGAAGCTAAAAACATCTATAAGATGTTTAGTGAATCTGAGATAGAGGCTGAACCTGAGGTAGAAACTAGAACATCTCGTTGGGCTAATCCCAAGGTGGTTGAGTCATCTAATTCAGAGCTCGAGAAGAGGTCTAAAGATAAGCATGATGCTCCTGCCCCCAAAGCTACTCCAACCAAGAAAATAACAAGGTCACAGACTTCTCAAAATGCGCAATCTCTTGTTGCTCTTCCAGCTGAAGTGGGCAAGAAGAAACATAAGTCTACCAGTAAGCACCCAATCCTTAAATTTTCCCACTCTGCTCACTTCTCATAGATATCATACTCATTACATTTTTCCTTATGATTAAGACTGCTACTAGTAAAAGGCTTGACTCTTCTCCCAAAGAAATGAAGGCCAGTGAGGAGGGGCATCAAAGTGACAAGGAAGTTATGTCCAAGATTTTGGAGGAACTGAAGGTAGTCACTATTTGAACACTTAATATCTATTTCCTCTTCAATTTTTAACCCTCATATACTAACTCCATTTAGTTTTTTTTTTAAAGCAAGCTTCCAAGGCAGAAGGAATCTCCCAGGAAAAACTCTCTTCACCTCCATCCCGACCTGTACATGTTTCTCCTCTTCGGGTCAAGCCTTCAAAGGTACTTTCTTTTTCTCAAAACTTGTCACTTTTTAAATTCTTAAGTTCCTCCAACCATAACAGTGAATCTCACTTCTCAATTTAACCCTGTAACTGGATAGTTTTTTCATTTTGTAGAAGATGATAGCACCTTTGTAATTTTCTTCTTTTAAGTGCTTTTCATTTTAAGATCCTTTTTTTTTTTTTTTTTGACCTGGTGCTTTAAACTTTGTCTCTGTCAGTCTTCACCTCTTCCAAAAGCTGCCAAGTTTCCTACACCAGCTGTTAACGAACCAATAGTCCCTGAGATACCAGTCGTCTCCGAGGTGACTAGTCCTAGAGCTTCCCCTGCTCTATCCCCATCAAACTAACCATCCCTTCCAAAAGCAACTACATTAGAAAACCTTCCAACCATGGCTCAAGGCTCAACTAAGGTATACTTAACTCGACAACTTGTCCCCATTCTCTCATTATTATTTTTTTTAATTTCAGCTTAAAGTTAGCTCTTTAACTTATTCCTTTTGCATCTAATAGGTATCTGGCGAGGGTTTGGGCATTCTTAGCCCGCTATGAGTAAAGTGGTTCCTCTTCGACCTCCTCAAGCTACTGGAGCTTCAAGGATTCCCATCCCTAGGCCTAGGAAGGTGGCTGCTACTAGATCTTATTTCTTCTCTGCTACTGCTGATGATATTGCCACTACTGCTGCTGTTTCAAATGGTGTTGGCGTCATGCCCCCTCCGTTGGCTTATCTCCCAGCCATAGCCTTATTAACCAAACTAGTTAAAGAGTTCGGGCAAATCAAGACTAAGTTGAGATCCCCAATGTGCCATTCTAAGTCTCAACACATTCAAGATCAACGCAAGATTTTTAAAGAATGGATGCAGAGGGACTTTTCTGCCTCATTCAGTCTTAAGGCATTTTAAGATGCTGAGAAAGCTCTAACTGAGTCCAAGCAAATGACCAAGGTGCAATATGAGTCATTCTTCTCATTCTTTGAGAATCTGAGGGCTTTGAGGGATCAGCATCTTAGGGCTAAGAGGCAGGCCAATCGGGTGAGGTGCTACAAAGATAAGCATGCTCGGACTTCCACTAACATTCAACAACTTGTAGAAGAGAGGTCGGCCATGGAAGATATGATCGTGGTGGTGGCAAGAGAAATTCAAAAATTGGAGGAACAATTTTCTGCTTTGAAGGATGAGCAAATGACCCTCTCTAACAAACTTTACAAGAAAATAGAGGAGGCGAAGAAAGTGAACCAGAAGATGGAAGAATTCGAAGCTCAGCTAGCCAATAACAACATAGCTCTAGAAGAGCCAAGTCTCATCTTCACCATAATTCTAGAATAGTTGCTCTAGCCAAGGATGTAAATCTGTGAAACAAATCTTAGCTTCTGTATTTTCACAATCATTAAATAAAAAGACATTCCATTGTTCTGCTACTTTATTTACTTATTTATAATTGCTTGTCATTTTACCCAAAAGCAATTATTATTTTTTTAAATATGCAAGGAATCTCTGGAAAACCACTATAAGTGTCAAACTTCATCAATATAACAGCCTCTAACATCCCAAAGAGTTGGGTGATACTTCTTCAAGAACTTAACATTGATTGGATGTTTTTGTGGATCTCCTTATAGATATGCCAAGTAATATGCCCTCTTGTCTAAGACTTTGATAATCATAAAGTGGTCTTCCCAAGTAGGACTCCACTTTCCAAATCATCTAACTTGTGCTCCTAATGGTAGAACTGTTTTCCACACCAACTCTCCCTCTTCAAAAGACTTCAATTTTACCCTTTTATTATAAGCTCGGGCAACAGCCCTTTTTCCTTCTTGAATCTTGTTCAGGGCCTCATTGCGGGCAACATCCAAATCTTCTATCCCTTGACACATGGCATGTATAAACTTATCACCGTGTATATCAATTTGGTTATGTATTCTCAAAAAGCTTACATTGATTTCCATAGAAAGCAATGCATCTTGCCCAAATGTTAATGCATAAGGAGTAGTTCCTCCTGCCCTTTTTGAAGTTCTGTGAGCCCAAAGAGTATCTTCCAATTTCTCATGCCATTTCTCTAGGCTATCTGCAACCATTTTCTTAGTGATATTGATTAAAATTTTATTGTTAGCCTCTGCTTAACCACTAGACTAGGGGTAATATAGGCTGGATTGGATCATCTTTAACTTGAACTTCTTCGCAAACTCTTCTACATCTTTCAAAACAAATGATAGTCATCTGTCTATGACAATAACTTCGGGCATCCCATATCTATGTAGGATCTTGGTCTTAATAAATCTCTTGATAATAGTTGGATTAATAGTTTTTATAGCTGAAACTCCCACCCATTTGGTAAAGTAATCAGTTGCCACAATTATAAAGGTGTGCCCTTTACTGGAAACTGGATATATTTGCCCAATGAAATCCATAGCCCATCATCTAAAAGCCCATGACTTCACAACCAAATTCAAATGCATTGATGGGGTATATTGTAAAGGACCATGTCTTTGGCATTCTTCACATCCTCTAGCATAAACTTTACAATCTTTATCCATATTTGGCTAAAAATAACCATATCTTCTTAGCAACCATCTCATTTTTATTCCTGCCTGGTGAGCTCCACAAATTCCCTTATGTATCTCAGCCATCACTCTCATTGACTCTTCTAGACCCAAGCATTTAACATAAGCTCATATGGGGTTTTTCTCAGCAGAATTCCTTCCCACATAACAAACTTAGTTGTCTGTTGTCTGGTTTTCTTGCAAGTAGGGAGAGAAGGATTTCCTAAATACTGAATGATAGGTGACCTCCAATCTTCAATCTTAGGCTCTTCTGTCATTATATCCAAACTGAATCCTCCCTCAAAGATCGAATGAAGGCTTCTTGATTTATCTTCACTTTTATTTCGAGTGCTTCTCTCTAGTCATGTGCTTCGAAGGCTTGTTATGCCATCTCATTTGCAGCCAAATTCAACTCCCTAGGAATATGATTAATTGTGACTTCACTTTCCCGATATGCCAATAATTGAGTAAAAGCCATGTAATACCCTGCCATTGTGATATGTTTGCACTTGTATTCTCCATTTAATTGATTAATCACCAACTTTGAATCTCCAACGACCTCTAATTCTTCTGGTTTTAATTGTATCATAATCTTTAAGCTAATGATTAATGCTTCGTATTATGCTCTGTTGTTGGTGATAACTTCATAATCCAAGAAAAATGAATAACAATGGTGAGCACCTTGTGGAATGACAATGACTATCCCTGCGCCTGCAGCCTGTTATGCGCATGATCCATCAAAATATAGCTTCCATGGAGTGATCCAGAGACTAGATAGCCTTTTTATCTTTTGTTGGACCCAAACCTCTTTGCCCGAGCTTCCTTCTATTAGTGGAAGCCATATACTTGCAACTTCCAAAGTACCAGGAATATTAATCAACTCTTCTTTTAGTTCTTAGTGTTCTGTCAAAAAGTCTGCAATTGCTTGCCCATTCACAACCCTTTGAGGCACATATTGGAAACTGAACTCTGATAATGTCAGAATCCATTTCCCAAATCTCCTAATCAACATAGGTTTGGACATGTATTTGATCACATTAGTCTTAGCAATTATGTGAGTATGGCAAGGCATCATGTAATGTCTCAACTTGCTAGCAATGAAATACAAAGTTAAACATAGCTTTTCAACAGGGGGTGTATCTTGTTTCTACCTTAGTAAGGATTCTACTGAGATAGTACACTGCTTGTTATTTCCCTCCTTCATTATTTTGAGACAATAAACTCCCTATAGACTTCTCGGATGCTGAAATGTAAAGCTTTAAAGGTTTCCTTGTAATACCCTGAAAATTTTAATTATATAAATTAACTATTTATGTTTATGAATATGTGAAGGAAATAGGAAAATCAATCAATAAATGGTTAAGGAAATTTCAATGGGAAAATGTGAAAAATCTGTTCTTGGATTTGAATATTAAAATAAGTATTTTGTAGTCGTATTCATAATTACGACGTATTTATAATTACGGTGGATATTTGTATTGATAAGTTAAAAAGACAAAAATGCCCTAGTTGGCTTAACGTAATTATACGAGGACGTATTTTATCCTAATATATTTTATCGTATTTATTGATATATTTGGATAGAGCTTGACCTCATAAGCATGTAAGCACAAACCGTTTATGAAACGGAATTATAACAAGAGTTATTAACGTTTAAAGTTAGGGATATTTTTGTAAATTTAATCTTCACTCTAGAAGGCTCCAGAAAATCTGGAGCAATGGGTTGTGCCACTTGTCTGGCTAGGATGAAAGGAAATAAAGAGAAAAGAGAAAGATGAATGGCTGAGATGATAAGGAGAGAAGAGAAAGGAGAGAAAAGGGTGGGAAACTGCCCAATCAGAGGGGAGAAAAGGAGGGAAATGAGAGAAAGAGCAAATGAGAAGGAAAAGAAACTGGGTCTCTTGACCCGTACGACCCGACCGACGGAGGCCATGAATCTTGGTGGTTTCCCAGTCAATTTCCGGTAAATTGAAGCCCTTCACCACCTGGAAAACATTTCCAATTCTTCCCTTTACCAATTTCATCCAAGAATTGATGGAATTTGGCTCGGGTACACAAAGAACCGCACCAGTGGGTGCGATGGTTCCACGGCAACAATCTGTCATTTTTAAGGTAACACATCCAATCACCAACATCAATAAGCTTCCCCTAACCTCAGGAACAAATCCCAAACAAGTTTGGGGGCGGCGGAGCATCGGAGGTGACGGATCAAAGTCACCCATTTCTAGGGTTTCCGGCGGGTTCAAGGGCAATTGAAGCTTTTCCCGGCCAAATTGGCCATAGCCACAGGTATAAGACTTATTCCACTCATCGAGAACTACATTTCTATAAAATTTGGTAATTTTTGGAGATAATTGAATTTTCTGACGAGTCGGGACGGCATGTGTGGCGGCGCGTTGCCAGTAAGCCGATGCCGTCTTTTTATACTAATTTCGATATTCTAAATCCATATTTAATATGCATTTGGTGTGATTCCGTTGTTTGAACCTAGTTAGTGATTGTTAGTCACTTGAATGTTTTTCGAAAATGAGTTTGAAAGTGGAAATGTGAACTATAAAAGGCTTGATCCCTCTCAATGGTACGTAGGCAGTCTAACAGGGTTAGATGCAACCTTACTAATCGATAATTAATTCTTTAGTTGAAAATTTTGACCTAAGAGAGTAAAATATGATAATTTGAAAATATAATCATATATGTGGATAAAAGAATTATGGTTATAGATCATGTGTGGGATTAAGGAATTTAATTAAAGAGTCGGGATCAATGGTAGTTAAATAAACAAGTGTTTAGAAGCCTATCACCAATATTATTTTCCGAAATAAATATTTCGGGGCAGGGCGTTACATTCCTCATCTGGGGAGGCATGAGCACCTGAGGGGATACCATGTAGGCTTTTACTTTATCAAAGGCTTCTTGATGTTGAGGGCCCCACTCAAACTTGTCTTGATTCTTTAGCCTTAGCAAATGAGATAGGGGTTGGATCTTGCTCACCATGTTAGCAATGAATCCCCTCAAGAAATTAATCTTTCCCAGAAATCTTTGCAATTATACTTTGTTGGTAGGTGCATATGACTCTATTATGGCTTTGGCTTTATTCTTGTCCACTTCCAAGTCTCTTCGATGAACTAAGAACCCTAAAAAGTTGCCTAATCTGACTCTAAAGGCACATTTTCAATTTGTGGGTTCTCATTCTTAGTAAAGCTTGTCTAAGATCCTCTAAGTATTGCTCCTTAGTTTTAGACTTCACCACAATGTCATCAATGTATACCTCCATGCTATGCCAGACAAGGTCATGAAAGATAGCATTCATTGCCCTTTGATATGTAGCACCATCATTTTTCAACCCAAATGGCATCACAACATATTCCTAAGCCCCTACGTGTCTAAGACACCTGAATGCCATCTTATGTATGTCCTCTTTAGACATTTTTATCTGATTATATCCAGCATTTTCATCCATGAAAGATAACACTTTGTGTTTTGCGACTACATCAATGGATAGGTCAACCATGGGTATAGGGTATTCGTCTTTAGGCGTTGCTTCATTAATTTTTCTATAATCCACGCAACATCAAATGGCATTAGTTAAAACTTTCAATACATGTACAATGTTTGACAACCATTCTACATACTTTGCAGGTTTAATAAAGCCTATTTTCACAAGTTTCTCAATCTCTTCTTTAACCTTCTCTTCTATCTTGACATCCTTCTTAGGGTTTGTTTCATCAGCTTGTACCTTCTTTTATAGGATTCTATGTTCTACTAACTCAGAGTCTAATCATGGCATCTCAGTATAATGCCACGTAAAACAATCTTTGAACTCATGCAAAAGATCAACTATTATAAGTTCTAGTAAGCTATTAAGTTGTATTGGCCTTAAATCCTCCTCATTCCCCAAATTAATGATTTCTAAGGGGTATTGGACTTCTGGTGTTGGCTTGTCGGGCTCTGTAGACAAAAACTCCATCGTCATTGGGGCTTCGGGCATATTATCAGGCCAATCTAGGTTATATATACATTATACCATGTGTACAGCAATTCCTATACACTCTTCAAAAAAAAATTCCTTCTTAACTATCTTTTGTGCCAGAACTTCCTTCCTCCCACTCTGCCATTAGGGTTGTAAAAGTTGGCCTCAGCAATATTGGCAGTGGGGAAAATGGTAATGATTATGCCTCCACTATTTCCCAGAACCCTTGCCGGACAATAGTTAGCTCATGGTAAACAACAATTTGTTGATGTAGCGTAAATGGTATGGACAAGCTTTGGTGTATCCAATCTCTTCCCAATAAAGCCCTATAAGTGGAATTATTGTATACTACAAAAAATGTCATCATGATCTTCTTGGACCCCATATCCACTTCTAAAGACACTATACCATGTGTTTTAGTAATAGCCCCCAAAAAACTAGACACAGTGAGGACTATTGGGATAAAGTCTTCTTCACTTCTAGCAAGCCTCTTTATCTGCTTAAGTGGTAACACATTGACTGTTGCCTCTCTATCTATCAATATTCTTTTGAAATGAACCCTTTC